GATAGGGAACCCAAGGTTGAATAAGGATAGTGTTGATGTGTTGTGAGGTTGTTAACCATTGTCATAGGGCAACATGTGTACTAACTGTTAAATGAGAAACTATTTTGTTCTGTAAGCCTTCATCTAAAGTGAAAATAGCAGCACAATTGGAAGAGCGTAGTCAAAGTCACTGAACTGTGCATGTAGAAATTTTTGAAATGGTGTATCTTTGGCTATGTATATTTTCACCATAAAAAAAAACAATGTTGAGAAGGGAGAGGGTTGACATGTTGTGGGGTTGTTAACCAATGTCATAAAACAATATGTGTACTACTGTTTAATGAGAAACTATCTGTTCTGTAAGCCTTCACCTGAAGTACAATTAAAAAAAAAAAAAAAAAAAAAAAAAGAACCTAGGCCCTAGTTAAGTACAAGAAGAAGTTCATGCCTAGGAGGGTTTTTTTTTTTTTTTTTTCTGTCATTTGTTTGTTTGTTTTTTTCCTTTCTCAGATCAACTGTTTAAGTTTGTCTTTAACGATGATGAATGGTGTCCAAAATCCAGCGGAGTGCAACGCATTCCCTTTTAAATGACTTCTCCAGAGTTCTTTCCAAAATATAAAAATACCCAACATGAGAACATAATTAGAATTCACATTTCTGTTTTGCACAGAAATCAAGATGCTGGATCCCAGAATCAGCCACTTTAGAGTAACACACACCAGAACAAGCGGTAATTGTCTTATGACCATAAACCCTTTCGCGGAATGCAATATTACTGCAGGTTTCTGGGTATGTTCTCTTAGTCAGAAGTGTGTATCATGATCATATATGATTCTCTAAGGTCATATCCTACTTCAAGACTAGTCAGTTGCCAGAGTGACCACACTAGAGAGCTCACTGCTATAAACCAAAGTCTACGATGGTCAGAAAATGATAGAACACCCATCTCAAGAACTAAGAAAGTGAAGGAAGGGGGCAGTTACCAAATAAAAAGTGGGTGGGTATCTGGGCCAATAATTATAATTAGTAGCATATTTATTAACTCTAAGGGAAGTGAGCCAGGTACTATTGCTTTAATTTACAGAGGAAATTAAAAGAATAGAAATTTATTGATTATAATCTTTTTTCAGTCAATTATAAGAGTCAAGAATAAATTATAAATTAACATCTACTGATTCTGATCTTGCTTGGTCACTCTAACTTCAAGCCAAACTAATAGTGAAATTACTTCAGATGGTGCTTTTCAATTTGAGCATCATATAACCATGTCTACTCCACACTAACAGTAATAATAGCTTTCATATCTTACTATGTGTCTGAGTACTTTATATTCATAATCTTCACTGAATCCTCAGAATACTCATGTGAGATTACTATTATTTTGACAAGTTCGCAGATGAGAAAAATGGGATTTAGATTAATAATAAGTCTACTTACTGTTAATAACTGGGAGAGCTAGGGGTCCAATTCATAAAGTCTGGCTACAGGCACCACGCTCTTAACCACTATAGTATAATGCTTCTAAAAACAAATATTTCTAGAATGAATCAGTTAATCAATTATCTGGACCCCTACACTGTAATAATTGTACATTAATACCTTTAGGAAAATCCACAGTGATATAAGAACTATCCTGAATTCAGTAATGCTTTAAATAAATGAAGATATTCCCAGGTATAGCAGACTAGGAAAACATATACCATTCTGAACATGGTAAAACATATATAAGTGATAAACAGGTCTCCATCTATAAAATAATGCACAAAAGAATTTGTGTCTCTTCTAAAGGGACTCAACAAAGCATAAGACATTTAGAACTGCCGTTTTTAGGAACTGCTGACTAAAGTAACTTGTTATTCTCCCCTTTTCATCCATCTTACACTTTGTTGTTGTTAGGTACCCTCAAGTCGGTTCCAACTCATAGCAACACTATGTACAACAGGAGGAAATGCTGCCCTGTCTGGCACCTTCCTCACCATTGTTGCTATGTTTGACCCCACTGTTGCAGCCACTGTGCACACAATGCATCTCATTGTGGGTCTTCCTCTTTTTCACTGACCCTCTGCTTTACCAAGCATGATGTCTTTTTCCAGGGACTGGTCCCTCCTGATAACATGTCCAAAGCATGTGAGATGAAGTCTCACCATCGTTGCTTCTATGAAGCATTCTGGCTATACAATTTCCAAGACAGATATGTTCATTCTTCTGGCAGTCCACGGTATATTCAATATTCTTCACCAACACCATAATTCAAAGGCATCAATTCTCCTTTGGTCTTCCTTATTCAGTTACCCGGCTTTTGCATGCTTTTGAGGTGACTGAAAATACCATGGCTTGGGTCAGGCACATCTTAGTCTTCAAGGTGACATCTTTGCTTTTTAACACTTTAAAGAGATCTTTTGCAGATTTTCCCAATGTAGTATGTCATGTGATTTCTTGACTGCTGTTTCCATGGTCATTGATTGTGGATCCAAATAAAATGAAATCCTTGACAACTTCAATCTTTTCTCCATTTATCATGATATTGCTTATTGGTCTTAACTTACGTCACTTTATTGAGGAAAGCCTTTTAATGTCCCTACACTAGTTAAGGATGAAGTACAAATGTGAGTCTAGAAAACCAACAGTCTATAAATAAGCTCCAGTTTCCTCATCCAGCATGATCCACTTTAGAAAACAAAACTTGTACCCCGAACTAGTCTGATTACCATTTCCAATATATTCCTCAGGTGAGTCAACATTCACATCGCCATTCCATTGCTAGTTCTGCTCCATCCAATCCCTTTCATATGCACCGAATTATAGACACTGTCAGTCATCCAACATGTCCTGTAAAAAAAT